CATCATGGTGGCCGGGAGCAACCCGAACTTGGATCGGAGTGAGGTGAAGTATGGGACGGAGTATAGAGTTGAGTGGGTCGGTCCTCCATACATGAACAAGAACAGACCGCTCGTACACAAGCCCCCTAAGGCTCTCCTGTATGGACAGAACCTCACTCTAAGTGTCAAATTCCCATCTTCCACAGCAAAGGCCCGCAATATTAAAGGTAGGTTTGCCACCACTCAGTTCAGGCCACTCACCTTACAATTATACACCTTAGTTGCACTTATGGATCTTGGCTTTGTAACCCATGCTGTTCACGCAAATAGCCGCCTGGTGTATCTGAGCTCTTCACTCGTCAGTGATGGACATTCACTACAGATTACTGGTCCGCCTCGACCTGCAGTGTATCCACCAGGACCAGGTTGGATATACGTTATCGTGGACAACGTCCCCAGCGTCGGGTTTCAGGTGATGGTAGGGAACGGTGATGGGCCCCCTGTGGACCACACTGCCTGGGATAAGTGCGTCTACTTTTCCCCCTTCTTATCCACATTACTGAAATATCCATTGACAGTTTGCTGAAAATGACCGCGGTGGGCCAGTACGAAGCATCAAAGAAGACGAAGGGAAAGAAAATGGGGAAGTATGTCGACAACATAGAGTGATGATCTATATGCTATCCTAGCTTTCACGGTTGCTGGACCGTTGGCCTCTCATCCTGTTATCTATTTTGCTCACGAACTGACGTCTGAGCTTAGTATGTATTGCCAGCAATAGATTTGTACACAACGTTTTTGTATCGCACTTCCTATGATGATATTGGAGAAATATGGAAAACAAAGATGATAAATTCGTCTAAACACAAAGTTACAGGGCCCGCTGCTTCATACGGCTGCTGACGGTCCTAAGTCCGGCATAAACTTTTCCGGGTGGTGAGCCCAAGATTAAAGAGACAATTGCATCGCGCGCAATTTTGATGTTTTGGAAGGAGCCCATAATGTGAATTTTCCTGTGTTCAAGGCATCAATTACGTTGTCGAGATGAAATAAGAGAACATAGATTTACGTGTCGGCAAGCACGATACGAGTCCGGCTAGTGTTCTCGATCGTGAACTTGGTCTTGCCATCCTGTCCCGCTATCCGTCCTGAAACATTTTTAAGCGAAGAAATATGTGATACGTGCTCGTATACCGACCGATTGCTCTGCTGAGATGATCGCCATGAAGTGTTTTTACGTCTTTAATCTCGAACGAGTCGAGGTAAAGATCGTCCATTCGTAGAAGTGCTATCGCGTCCTGTAAATCAATAATTTAAAGATGCATAAAGATATCAGCAATCAGCACTCACGTTAACGTCAAATCCAAGAGCATATGCCTTCACAAAATCAGCTCCTTTCTGCAGAGCACCGATTTCTGTGGTAGCTTTTGATGTCTACAGCGATGCGATAAGCATATAATCTCCAGGGACAGGCGAACGCGCACTCTAATTTCTAAACACCGCCTCTGAACATTCATTCGCACCTGTAGCCCAAGGATCTCGGTGAGAGGACTGAAAATGTTTATCCAGTCCTTTTTTATAGGCGTCATGCGATGCGGGGGTATTGGAATTCGCCTTGTCTCTGATTTTAGAGTAGATTGTGTCGCAGATGCAGGCAAAGCCGGAAAAGAGGGCGCTGAGCTTGCCTCTAGGGCGGGAGTAGGGTTAATTTCGATCATCAAATCATCATCTTCTGGAGTGTGATTCGACTTCAAAGGGGGAATAACCTCTGAAGACATCTCTTCGTCACCGTCAACTTGTGTGGTATTGGCAGCCGTGCGTGCTTTCTTCTTACGAGTCATGCTTCGGCGGTTTTTGGTGGCAGATGTGTTCTGCTCTACGTGTGCGACTACCATGTCTGCTAATGATGGATGGGGAAATGAAATTAGTCCAGTATGAGGTCTCGAGGATTCAGGCCCAGGAATATTTCGAGGATGTCGGCAAGAAGTGCGAATCACGTGACCTCGATGTCACTGATCAAACACTAGGAAAAAGTTATCTTTGCGTAACGGCGTTGCTAGCCCTTGACCGGACTTCAAAGCTTCACCACTGACCAAATGTCGGGTTACACCAAGGACATGAACGACAGCTATACTGAGGGTAATTACATCTTCAATACCTCTGTTGTGCTCAGAAGGAGAGCTTTTCAGCGCTGCAGGCCCTGTTCAACTCGCTGGCACCCAAAGGACCTGACACGAGCCCCTCTTCAAAGCTAGCACCTTCGCAATTCAAACATCTCGCTGATAAAATAGATGAGATCCTCGATGGCGCAAGTGAGGGTGAAGCCTTGCAACGGAATGAGAAGGGCGAAGTGCGTCTTCGAACCTGTGTCTACTATGTGTATTGAATTCTTGATCTGTATTCAAAGCTTCTCAACGACGAGGGTCTCCCGATCATAGACATCACTGAACCTGCTGCAGATATCAGTGACATTGACTCTCCAGCGGCTTCGTTTCATGAGCCAGATCTCATACCAGAATCATCTCTATCTCCTTCGGAGAGGGAACAGCGCCGTCGCACACGAGATCACATTCTGGCCATGCTTGAAGAAGAGGAACAATCACAGTTGGAAAGAGACGAAGCAGAAGAAAGGGAGAAGCGGATGGAGGATATACGTAAGCGTAAGGAGGCCGCGAAAGCAGAAATGGAGCAGTTAAGGGCAGCCAAAGAAATGCAGAAGAAAATGGGGAAGGCCCTGCTGAAAAACCTTGCAGAAGCCAGGGAAAAGGAGGAGCGGAAGCTAAAAGATCTTATCGAAAAGGAGCCTCCCAAATCGGAATCCTCCAAACCGAAGAAGACTGTTACTTTTGCTAATCCCAGTTCGCCGGATGAATCATCTGCTACAAGGGAGAGTCAAACTACTGGATCATCCATTGATTGGGGACGTCATCCCATGAAGATGCACGTGGTGGAGCGACATCCAGCTTCGTACCAGTCATCGTCAGAACTTCAGCCTGAAGGTGATTCGGATGATGAACCCTTTTCCACGACGTCCTCGACACCTGATGAAGTAGAAAATATGCCATACGAGTCTTACACTTCGGGCAGTGACGACGACGACGACAAATCGGATGAGGGTTTGCTGGAAGAGGAATTTGATTGGGATTCCGCACAGCACCAGCGAGAAGTGGCCCTGGAGTATTATAAGAAGCGTCATGCTATTGGTGCAGAGGCTGCCCGAGCGATGACTTCACACACACACGATGATGAAGAATGGAACCAAGGGGTCAGTATTTCCCTTGTTCAGCCCCGCAATTTAAACAAATCAACTACAGGATATTGCCCCAGATCGGCACTCGAAACCTAGTGTATCGCGCTTCAGGGCTGATCGTATGGCTACGGCATATGACAAATCTACCTCTACTTCGCTTGGTCCATCAGTTATTCCAGCCTCTCGACAAAGATCCTTGCAAGAAGCTATCCGGTTGGGAAAAATTGACAACAACTATCTTGTTGGCGGCGAGGAGGGGGAAAGCGGGAGTGAGGATGAGGCTGTCCGAGAGGTCTTGGAGCTTCTGAGAAATGGCCGCATCCATAATGCTGGTGCTGGCCTCACGAGCTCGACTGTGGCAGAATTAAGCGCAGGTTCTGCGAGGAGCGCGGCAGGCACAGTTGCCAGCGTTCTGGGTGGAAAGATTTCTAGGTTCAAAGCAGAGAGGATGTAGAATGCACCTCAGCGTGCCAGTATGATGGACGATGATCGATGAACAGTTATAATTGGCTTACTACTCTACAGACGTATCGAATGGCGCAATGTGAGGACAAGTGAGGGACGCAAGGACATACAGGACGGGACGACTCCTACCCACGAGACAAGTACTAGTGAGGTATATCATTAAGCCATTCATCCTCTCGAGCGTGTCCGATTTGTTCAGTGTTAACGACGTTGACATCCAGCGAGGCTACATTGGGTAGCTCTTCGAGAAGGGTTTTCACGTGGGAACGCAGGGCGTGATGCTCGAGTAAGCTGACAAATATAACCTGGCTCCGAAGTAGGATGAGAAGCTGCTTGGACTAAGATAGGCCTCATTCATACTCTGGTTCATCACGTGACTTCAGTGTGACATTTCACTGAATTCACCTGTAGCTCGCTGTACATGAAGTGTAATTGAAAATGGTTCCATGATTATGTGCATAGAGTATGTGGCAATACACTCATGTAATTTTTACGAGTTTAATCGAGAAAATGAGGAACGAGTAGGCATTACAGTCATCAAAAAGCTTAAATGTGCAAAATGAGTGACATCAGCGCCACCCGCATACCAAGATGGGTTAGATAGAAATGAAGAAAAAGAAATTTGGCAAGCATCTTGAATGGTCAACCAACCTCAACATGCCATGGAAGCACCAGTGAATGGAAATGCTCTATACCGCTACCTATGTGTGATTGACTGAAGTAGCGCTGAGCGCTCCACCGCTGATTGTGGCGCCGTTCGACGGTCACAGATGGTCACCAAAGTCACAACGAGTCACGGCAGCACATCTGCCACCAAAATGCCTACTCCTCCTTTGATTGTCTGAAAATTGAAATTATAAGTAGAGCGTTCTGATACTATAGCACATGCTTGCAAAATCACGGAACAGTCTTCGCTACTTGTACGTTGCTGCAGAGTTATGAGGCAAAGATGTGTTTTTGACCTCTTAGGTCACGTGATGAACCAGAGTATGAACGAGTCGTATTCTCTCTAAGCGTGAGGAACAAGCACGCAGATAGAATGTAGTCTATGCCTATTCCAAGTAAAGAAGTCTCACGCTTCTTTCCTTCTCTCCACCAGTACTTGTACCTTCAGTGCGAGTCATCTCCGTCTCTCAATAGACTCTTGCTTGGTCTTGTCTCTCAATAGACTCGTGCTTGGTCTGCCTGTGACAAAACATCAAAGCACGAATTACATATCCTCTTATCGCCTAGTATAATGGACAGACTACTTTCTGACCCAAGCCGTTTAGTATGTCCTGACTTCATGAGCGCGAGATATCAAGCCATGTGCACTGCAATGAGCTCTCCCACAGTCACCGAGGTACAAGCGGCAGAGACCCTATGCACTACCTGGGTATTGACTAACGACGACCTCTGTCTACAATGGAGGGAGCAGGTAGCCGAAGATGAGCGCCTCGGCGCGGAACAGAAACATTTAACCGAAGAAGAAGCCAAACGTGATCGTTTAGCCCTACAATTGGAAGAAAACACTGTGAGAGCAGATGAGAAGAAGAAGAACCGGTTGAAGCACTCCCTAATAGTCATGCGCCCGCGCCCCTTCGCAAATGATGAAGAAGCCTTAGTCTCCGAATTCGCATTGCGGAAGATAGACAGCGGAAAATATGTTGAGCTCTTCTACTGGACAAACCAAGGTCTGGACGATGCCTTGACCAACTACCGCACCAGGGATGATGACAGCATGGTTCCCTCCATCGGAGAGGATGGTTCGACAGTGTGGGTCAGTGCGGCAACTTCAAAGCCGGCGGCTGGAGTCATAGCAGATAGGGATCTCTCTCCAGTAGACTTTGCACAAGCAATTCCGCATATAATGGCAGCCATCGAGGAATGCGACTGGACCAAACAACGCACCCTGATGTTAGCTCAATTCTGGGGCGCCATAATGCTCCATCGCTATTGGAACTCCAATGACTTGTTGGCCAGACGTGTGATTCTACTTTACCAAGAAGAACAGCGCCGAGCCTGGCATAGTGCCATCCTCTCATCCAATGATGCCTGGGATATCTCCATCATCGACGAAACTGCCCTCGTACGAACCTTTGAACGGGTCTATCGTGCCTCTCTCCTTCGCACCACAAATATATCTCCAGATGTCCTGGTACATTTCCGAAACTCTGATCTCAGGAACTTACTAATTGGCTGTTCGTCTCACCATCCATTATACCTTTATAACTGCCTTCATCATGATGAATGTCATTTGACTCTCGCGTTTGCGTCTACATCCTGATCGGGGCTGCGTTTAACATGACACCTACATCTATGTTTGCGATTGGCGTGTGCATTCGCGTTTGCATTTTGCATCAACATGGTCACCCCATCCCACGTGTGCATCTTGCCCCCTGCTCACAGACCCAGAGCAGCGGCTCTGAGAAGTGGAGCAACGGTTCCCAGAACCAGAGCAGTGGCTCTCACTCACGGGGTGGACATACCTCCACTCGTCGCTCAAGGCGATCAAGGCGTTCCCCTTCCCTACAGGCCAGGAGATGCTCAAATTCTCCGGGCGCTGACAAGAGAGCCAACGAGCCGCGCGCTCCTAAAGCAACCTCACACCAGCAAGATTTTCGAGACAGCGCACACAGCAATCGCTCCTCAGCAGTGTGCGCAGTATGTCTCAGGAGTCACAACCACAATTTTGCCGAGTGTACGGCCGAGCGCCTTTGGGACAAACAGTTCCAATCAGTCACCACACACAACAACAGGCTACTCGCCGTATGAGGGTCCGACAAGCCCCTTTGCGTCGACTGGCAGTGCTCCAAGAGTTGCAGCAGTCGCACACACAACGAGCGTCACATCTGCTCGGGATGTCTGGCCTCATCTCACGGAGCCCATGCTTGTTCTCAAGCACAGGTGAACACACCTGTTGTCTCCTTATAACGCGGCAGTCTGGGAGGACAAACTATATAGACACAATCTTATTCGCGAGTATCCCACTTTACTGCAAGGTTTACAATCAGGCTTTCACCTTAATATTCCTACCATTACCGATACTCAATCTCCGCCTAACAGCCATTCGCTGCTCGTTTTTCGGGATGCCTTTTCCAAGATTTTGGCTTGCGAGCTCACCACGGGTCGGTACATTGGTCCTTTCCCCAAAAGCGATCTACTATCTTTGCTTGGTCGCTTCCAATCACCTCCCATCTCCATTATACCAAAGACTGGGAGAGTGGGCAAGTTGCGTGTCATACAAAACTTTTCCTTTCCTCTGGTCCCCTCTCCAACCTACCCCAACCAATCAATCAACTCGCGTACCAACTCTGACGATTTCCCTTGCACGTGGGGGACATTCGACACCATATGTACTCTCATCTGCTTGCTTCCTCCAGGCTTGCAAGTGGCCACCCGTGATGTTGCAGAAGCATATCGCACAGTCCCATTGCACGATTCCCAATGGCCAGCAGCAGTCGTTTGCCTGCCAGATGGCGACTTCTGTGTGGATACTTGTATTTCCTTCGGAATGGGACCCTCAGCAGGTACTTATGGCTGCATTGCGGATGCAGGGGCTGACTTACTGCAAGCAGAAGGTATCAGACCCATGGCAAAGTGGGTTGACGATCACCTTTTCTTTCGCATACTGCACGAACACGTGGAGAATTACAACAAGCTTCAAGAGGAGACTCACGTAACACTGGCAATGGGAGGGAAAAGAAAGACAGAGGGGAGATTGTGGTACAAAGGCAAGACCTTCGACGACGAAACCTTTGAAGTCTATGCTGAGGATTGCCGGTTTGCGATTCGCAACTTATCTCACTCTTCCTTGCGTGCAGATTTCGATGCCAAATTCACATATACATTTGCCGACATCGATCAGGTGTCCCAACCGATGGGTACACCATGGGAACCAGATAAAGACACTGCATTTGCCTATGATGGAATATATATTGGGCTACTGTGGAACTTACCATGACGAACAGTCGAACTATCACCCGCGAAGAAAGGTAAATACTTGGCAGGGATCGAGGAGTGGCGTTCGCGCTCGACGCACGTCCTCCTGGACGTGCAGAAGCTATACGGCAAGCTTCTGCACTCCTGCCTGGTCCTTAGAATGGGACGAGCTTACCTCACCTCATTGGAAACCATGCTCGGAATCGGCAACAACCATCCTTTTGTGCCGCATCACCCCATCAAACACCTCAGCGAGGACCTTAACTGGTGGTGTGCAAAGCTCAGCCGACCCTTCGTTGGCAAGAGCATCTCACAACCAGGTGTCCTCGTCGACATGCATGCCTTCTCTGATGCCAGCTCCACCGTTGGCATTGCAATTGTTATCAATGGGTATTGGCGCGCATGGACCCTGCAACCAGGGTGGCAGACACTTGATGGTAAGTGAGACATCAGCTGGGCCGAGTGTGTTGGTTTCGAATTACTTACCCTCGCAATTCTCCAAGCTCGGCGAGGACACCCTGCCACACACTTCCGCGTGTTCTGCCACAACCAAGGGATTGTTAACGGCTGGAAAAACGGGAGAAGTTGGAACTGGGCGACCAACCTTGTTTTTCGCAGGATCCACGAGCGTCTCGACTCCATCTCTGAGGATATCTCCTTTCATCTCGCCTACGTCCCCAGTGCCGATAATCCAGCAGACAGTCCTTCCAGGGGAGTGTTCCCTGGTAGGCACTTGTTACTCCCCCCGATTGAGCTTCCAGGCGACCTGCCAGGACTCCTCGTTGATGCAGAGCTCTCTGCAGGAACCTCCAGGAATGTCAACGGGGCACACACCAACTATCGGGAGGGAGATGTTGATGAGCTGGCTGACGAGGAGGATGATGGGGAGTGGGGAAATCAACTTCTTGAGTACTACGACTCCTGGTGTGACTAACCCTTCTCGGTTCCAAGGGACCCCTCCTCCAATAGTCATGCCCTCTGTGGCGCGTCCTCGCCCATATCAAACAGCCTTAACTCCTAGAACATCACCACTGCACCCACACTGCCTGGCACGGGAACACCTTCATCACTGGGTACCAGGAGTGGTGCGATCCCGGCTGGACCATTCGGGGATGGGAGTAGCAGTCTCGGATGATGACTTGGACCGAATCTTGACAGTGATTGCCCATTCGCACGCTCCAAGCATGCGGGAAACATATGGCTCAGGGCTCTTGGTATACCATGTTTTTTGCGATGAATGAAACATCCCAGAACATCAACGCTGTCCTGCTTCGTCAATTCTAGTATTAACATTTATTGCATCATGTGCAGGAATGTACTCTGGCAAGACACTAGAAAACTACATCTATTCCATCCGCGCTTGGCATCTTCTACACAGGCAAGATTGGCTCGTCAACCATGGCCAAGTGTCAGCAGCGCTAGAAGGTGCCAAACGCCTCGCACCGAGATCTTCGACTCGCCCAAAGAGAACTCCATTCATGGTAGAGCTCATCAGCACTATCTGTGCGACACTAGATCTTAGTACTCCTTTGCATGCATCAGTGTATGCTTGCTTGACGACCTCCTTCTTCACCATTGCGCGCACCGGCAAGTTTACAGTTCTGACTTTGCGTGGTTTCGACCCCAACTGCCATGTTAAAGTTGGTGACATACGATACAAGGAAAATCGACTTGGGTTGAGCGTGACAGTTTTCCATCTTCCGTGCACCAAAGTCGCTTTCGGGGGAGAAGATGTTTTCTGGGCTTCACAGACCGGGTCAGCAGATCCCCAAGCGGCATTGTCCAACCACCTCACGGTCAACAGACTCTCTCCTGGAGATCCGCTCTTCAGCTGGAGACACCACTCGGGACTGTGTCCACTCATGAAGACACAATTCATGAAGTGCCTTCAAGATGCCAATGCTCGAGTGGGAGGGGAGTCGTTGAAAGGACATGGCATTCGGATTGGAGGCACCTTGGAATACCTCCTGCACGGAGTGCCCTTTGACACAGTGAAAACTATGGGGCGCTGGAACAGCGACTCATTCTTGCTGTATCTTCGGAAACACGCGGTAATTCTGGCGCCCTACCTCCAAGATCATCCCGTTTTAGAACCCTTCATGCGCTACACACTACCGCGGCAATCTACATGTGAGTATTGCACACCTCCTTGAATTTTGGGGTCGAGCTAAAGCTAGATGCGTCGTCTTGCTCCTTTAGAATTTAGGGTATCTCAGCTCACTCTCTCCCATAGCCATCAAGAAGGCTCAAGGCTTGTTTCGGTCGAAAAATCCCTGCAGGTTTTTACCCAATCACTCGTTTAATTTCTCTCATTCAGTTTAAATGTTTTACTCATTTGTTGATACTTGTCACTCGTTAGCCTTATTACAACTTTAATGTTCGCTCGAGGTCAGAGCATAGATCGTATTCTCTCTAAGCGCGAGGAACAAGCACGCAGATAGAATGTAGTCTATGCCTATTCCGAGTAAAGAAGTCTCACGCTTCTTTCCTTCTCTCCACCAGTACTTGTACCTTCAGTGCGAGTCATCTCCGTCTCTCAATAGACTCTTGCTTGGTCTCATCTCTCAATAGACTCGTGCTTGGTTTGCCTGTGACAAAACACCCACCCTCCTCTCCCTAGAGGGAGCTCCAGCACAATTTTAACTTTGGTCCATGTGCCGGTGGCTTGGACATCAGAGAGCAATATACGCAAATGCCTTGCCGACCACTAGGTCAACTCTTGTGAGAAGGTACATACACAATGCCATTTAATTCAGGACCCTGTTATGGATTAAACTACTTTGGTGCCTGCACAGACTGGCCTGGAGGTTAATTGGGACCCATACTCCCTGACTAGTGAAATGGAACACCTTAGTTCGCAATGGTGTTTACATATCAAATTAGTATTTCCCACCTTATAAACAGGATACTTTGCACCATGTATTCTGCATTCCCTTTGTCTTCCCTCATGGCTTCTCTTGAGGCGTATAACACCATTGTATTTGGGAAATCCAACTCTGGTTGTATCTCACAATCACCTCCTATTGGTGCATTGGTAGTAGTTCTGGCAGCTTCACTCATTTTGGGGACATCACACACCTTTGCCAGTCCTGATTCCTGGAGTTTTGACAGCTTCATCACACCAGGTAGTCAAGAATGTCTGGGGACTGGAGACCACATCCTGGTATACTGTCAGATGTTCAACTCCTTTGTGCATCCCCTGCCACTACCAGTTTTCTCTGCAACAGTGGAGAACATAGCAGGCTGGGGGAGTGGCCATGTCGAGTTTAGAATCAAAGACCTGAACTCTGGGAATTACCACCCCAAGACTCTCAGATTGCCCATTGAGATAGTTTGTTTGTCTATGGGGCAGAAGTTACAGAGGCTACTCTATCCTTTCCCTCGGATAACCACTTTCCCCTCCTTGCCTGGAGGTCAGAGGTTGAAACACCACAGATGCAGTGGGATCATAGGAGATCGTGTTCCACGGGATAGTGACGGTCTTCCCATATGGGATTGAGTTCAGCTGGTGAAGTCAACTCCTGTATATTCAGGAAGTTTCAGCTCTAATTTGCTTGGGTGTATCAGGTGGCCTCCTTCTCCCTCTACACATTTGCACAGAGCTATCAGCGATGGATACTTTAATAGTTGACCTAATTGTTGGACCAGACGCAAGTCATTTGCAACCTTCTTGAGCTGCTTGGCCTGCCCGCCCATCTCAGCTCGCTCTCTCCCATAGCCATCAAGAAGGCTCAAGGCTTGTTTCGGTCGAAAAACCCCTGCGGGTTTTTACCCAATCACTCATTTAATTTCTCTCATTCAGTTTAAATGTTTCACTTGTTTGTTGATACTTGTCACTCATTAGCCTTATTACAACTTTAATGTTCGCTCGAGGTCAGAGCATAGAGCCTATCTTACGTAAAATAATGAATTAGATGCTAAGTGCTGTTAAATTATTTATAAAAAAAATACCTCTAAGAGTTTAGTTTTCAAATTGGGGTATCGGAGACGCAGCTCAGGGGAATGTCGATGACGAGTGAGAAGACGCCTAGTCAGATGCTACAATGTGATTAATATTAATCATGTGATTTTGAGATGAATTACATACGATTAGGTCATAGAGAACGATAATGCCACAATGACAGATAGACAAAAATAGGGCGAATCCTCCGAATCCTATGTAGACAAGGACACTGTCGAACACCGACATATCGATAGCAGAGGCCGAAAGATCCGAGTCAATTGCGTCAGGGGGAGAATAAGAGAGGTACGAGCGCAGCCAAAAGAGGACGAGCGAGCGACGCATGACGTCGGCTCGTACTCGTCCATATTACCAAGTTTATTTTCACAATATCGTGTTTCTATGCTAAACACTATATATCTTTGAGTAGATTAATCCTCGCATCTCAGTTCTTACTACATCAGTAAAACCTCACTTTTATTTTCTGCTATTATCTCACTTTACCCGCCTTGGCGCCAGCGCTAAGGCACGAAAATGAATATAAGGAGTGTCAATTGGGTGTCCTGAATTTTCTCAAAGGCGCCACAGAGTGGCTAAGTGAAATTGTCGGTGCAAAGGGAAATAAGGCACGTTCAGAACGAAAATAGTAGTATATAGTCAAATTGTGTTTAAGTAGCTACACGCTAGTATCCAAAACAAAGTGAAGTCAAAATGCAATCTCGAATGCGTGGTGATCAGCGTATTTGTTCACATAGTAGGCTTGAAATGCGTCATATGAATGATAAAATTTGAGCTCCCGGGGCACAAATTGCACGCCATACATGGGAATAAGATGTGCAGCACGATAAATAGAGTCAATATGAATGACCGCGTACCCTGGAGCACTGTCTGCTCCAAATCCAGGACGAACTATCCACATTCCTGTATCTTCATCTGGGGCGTCGCCAACTTTGTTGAACCAGCTTATTAGAGTGCAGGGATATAACCTGCCCCGGTACCTGAATGAGAAAAATGCACGAACATGGGCGACTTCGAGGCCTTGCATGCCAGGCAAACTGGAGTCTGTGTTGACGAAAACACAGTCATGGCACTGGTACTTGTTCCGCCAGATGGGGCAAGAACGAATGTGTTCAACACGCATACCACCGATCCCGCTCAAATCACTCGGTGCATAGAATCGTGATGATGCGGAATTGAAGACCAAGATTTTGCTAAGATAGAGGGGACATTTGGCGAGGGGTATATTAGATGGGTCGCGAGGATCTTTAGGATGCAACTGTTGGAATAAGAAGCGTCTGAGGAGGTCAGGTAGACTAGGAATATTGAGTTCTTCGGCAAGTGCAGGAATAGTTTGAGCACATTTTTTGCCCTCTGTACATAGTTTATTAGGACATTCAAAAGGAAGAAAAAGAAGTCTTACGGCGTGTTTTCGCCAGCTGGACATAAGCTTGTAGAACCGTCGGACCATCATCAATTTCCAGGTCCTCATCGATGCCGATCAGCAGAGGTGCTGGTGCTGGTGCTGGTGCCGGCACATTTTCATCAAGTTCATTGATCTGCTGTGCGGGTACTATTGTGCACATTAGTATATAGGATATCTCACGAACTGTTTACCCACCCAAGGCGTCCATAGTTACTGAGAGGCAAGTACCAGTTAACATTCCCCGACGTGTGAAGTCAGCTCGTGCTGCAGAAAGTTTGTCGAGCCATTGGTTGGTCACAAGTATTTGACCAAGTGCATTATAACGGCTGGATCGTCTCCATGGCTCCTTGACCGCTTTGATGTGCTTGTTTTCAGTAATCGATGAGCAGAGGCCGTTCGGTGCAGCAAACAATCGTATGTTTTGGACATAGTGCTTGAGTGAATGTTGATGAGGTAGGGAAAAGGTAGGAACCACTCCTGTCGTCCTGAAGATGTTACGGTAATGGTGAAAGCGTGAGAGAGCGTCTTCGATTTCGACTAGAGTGTCTTCTGTGATTATGTTACGACGGACTAGGTAACAAAATTCGAGAAGTGCATGAAAGGTGCGCACAACATCTACGGGTACATGACCCTCGATGGCAGGCAAGTAGACCTGAAGAATTAATAAGTTCTGCGACCATAGCATGACTAAATTGATGAATTACCTTCATCAGGGCCTTCGAATCATCTCCTGTCCATTGCTTGAAGCCACGTCCCTGAGGAAATCGTCTCAAGCCTGAAAATGAGGCGACAGCGGCAATTCTAAGACAATGAGTAATGTTATGTAGTCTAAATGCAGTCAAGCTTACCTGCAATCAATATCATCCATAATTTGATCTGCCTTTCATTTCGTATGCGTGTGTCTGAGGTATTTCTCGACCCATTCGACGAGGTGGTCCTTGAATGCTCCTTTGACGAGTTGATGGAGAATATCCGGTGAGATCATCTGATGGATGTCAGCTCTGGGGAAGTCGTTCATAAATGCCTATTAAAATAAGATCATTAAGAACGGTGCTGCAAGGAGTGCGCTGATTCACATACTACAAGTTCCCCGACTATTCCAAAGTCATCCCACAGGTCACCTAAGGAACCTTCTTGAACGAGTGCTTCTGTGTATTCACGACAACGATGTAACACATCTTTGTCGAGATCCTTGCGAGATGCCATACATCTGCAAAAAAAATTGTAACTTATACAAAGATACATACTAGATGACAAAAACATACTTAGGGCACCAACCACGCACGATACATGCTAACAGCGCTTGCTCCTCATAATCTGCTATGTATGGCCCTAGTCCGTATATAACCCGACGGTAGTGACCGTCTCCAAAACGAGTGACTTCGGGGGTTGTCATGCCTGGTTTCAGCATGTTGAGAATCTTGGAGAGTGACGAATGGAACAGCTGTCGACGGAATTTTCGGAACACTGCCTCGGTAGCATGTTCCTTTGTAGCTGTAAAAATCAGTTAGTCATTATTGTAGAAGCCCGCACCACAACACACTTTTCGGCATAGCAAGGAAGCCAATGACTGCTACTCCATCACGATGGGCTCGTCGAACATTGTTGCGAATGTTCCCAATTGAGGCGTATAGCGGATAATACTCATTATTACCTGTCCCGACTGAAACTGTCGTTTTGTCACTGCCAAGGATGACAGGGACAAACGTAGAGCTGAGCGTGCTCGGGTCCTTAGCTATTTCATCCTACATACAGAATTAGCAGTCATTACAGGATGAAGACTGCACTTACTGCCTGATCCCATGCCCAGTCACCAGACATAAAATCCTTCCACTGGCGCTTGTCGCCCTCAGTTGAATATTCTCGATAGGGGCAGTAGTCTACTTCACTGGCGTATGTTGGATTTGCAAGCATATTGTGCACGACTTCACGTGGGTCACGAAACCAGACTTCGTATTTGTCATCCATCCACGGCTTGGTACCATCTTCAGGTCTCTCACCATCGTAAGTTACTGTAAAATTTTGCCAATTCACGTCCCCAAATGGTGAATTATCGATGATGTCGTACAGATCACAATGATCTGCGAATGGCGGCTTGTCGCCATGTTTCGCAAGGGTAGACACCCATAAATCCAGCAACCGGTTGATTTGACCTGCCGGCATCTGATTTTGCGTATACAGGAACTCTGCCGTTTCGAATTCTGTACGATTGCGAAAGGGTGTCCAGTCGCCAGTTGCTACGTTCTCCAAAGGTGGGGGCGGAGTGCCAGGGAGGAGGAATATACCATCCGTGTTGCATGGTCTGGCTGTAATCACATTCAGCCACAGTGACAGAATCATGCGAATGAACTTACCATTGAGACCTGTATGATAGTTTCAATACAGGTGATCCCCAGGCCCAACAAATTCCGTATCAACGTTTGGTTGAGGTGATGGTTGATGTTGGTGCTCCAAGTCGGCATATCCTTCATCCACATCCATGTCGATATTGTGGTCGACATGAGGCTGTGGGCTTGGCAGACGGGACTCTGGTATGATGGGTTCCGGAGAGTGTTGGTGGTTGTCCTGAGGTAGTACTGGCGGGATGGGATGTGCTGAAATGCGATGTTTTGTTCGCCCGGCGATAGTTTTGAACCACCTTGGACAACTTCTACATGGTAGTTGGAGCGAACTATGGTCGCGACGGCGTAGTTGACTCCATGGAATGTTATTGGGCATTGTAGCAATACTAGACTAGAATGATGTTCAGTTCTGGCGATTTGTACATTGAAAGGTGGAAAACTCACCAATCAGAGATCTGCGTGTTGAAAGGCGGAAGGATTACCAGTATTAGCTCTGGTGGTTCACACACCGGAAGGACTGCCAGTATTAGTTCTGGCGGTTCACGCGTTGAAAGGTGAAGGATTGTCAGTACTAGTAGCTCTGGCACATTGAAAAGAGGAAAAATCACCAATAGGAAATCTGTGCGTTCAAAGGTGGAAGGATTGCCTATGTTAGCTTGGAAATCTGCGCGTTGAAAGGTGAGAGCTCTAGCAAACAGCAAAGTTGAAAAGAAAGATGGCAAACTTACGTCAATTAAGGACAATTCAGTACACATGCGGACCCAGTTGCAAAGGACGCTGTAAATGACTAGACTGACGAATTGAACCTTTAAAGTTTCGGGTTGATTTAAGTAAGGAACTTACAAATTCGCAGTCAAACTTCAACTACACGTTGTCCTTGACATTTTTTTCACCCATCTCAAGCTTGCTGCAGCACTCATTTAATCTGCTACTTGTCAGCAATTATGTCCGATATCACTGAGGGAATCCGCACTCGCCGAGACAATAAGTTCAAACACCCGGGCTTGCCAGACCTGCCAGTGCAAGGACGAGTTCCGCGACGTAGCAAGGCCCAGAAAGCAGAGGACGACAAAATCCTTGAGGAAGCCCACCAAGCTCAAGAGCGGGCTGCAGTCGAGGGGCTGCAGCGGCTTGCTGCAATGCAGATGGAGATGGAGGAGGCAGAGGAACAAGGCGTGGTGACTAAACCAAAGCCAGTCAAACCCCGTGCTCGCCCTGTCAAGAAAAAAGTAGTGCCTGCCAAACCAGTAAGAAGCTCCTGGCAGCAGGAAGCGCTGGTGTTACTAGTATCATGAATACTGACTCACCCAAGGCTGGTACCGGCATCGAGGACCAAGAAGAAAGCAGCCAGGACACCAACATTGAGGACGGAACAAAGAAGAACCAGAGGGCCGTCAAAACATCTCTGAAGGACGCAATCAACAATGCACGAGGCTCACTCACAGGAAAGGTTGAGTTAATTCAGGGGCCACGTGTTGGCGACAAGAAAGGAAAGTCTTCTACAGCGACGTGTGTCTTTTTGTTCCGATCAAAACCACGATGTTGATGCTGACTGAATCGACTCTTTTTTTTCTTAACTTGACCTCAAAATTCAGGACCAACCCCAAGTTTTCATTGATAAAGCGCGTTGATGGTTGGATTTCTGATATTTCACCAGACACAACCGAACTACTCAAAACTTCCAGCGCTTCTAAGACTCGTACCACTGCCTCAGCTTTGTCATTGGTGCATGGGCCACCAAGCAGTGCTTTACCCAGTTCCTGCGCTACATCAGTTTTGGCCATAACTACCAAGTCCTCCAAATCTAAGGCCCCCCCTGCTCTAGCTAATGCATCTGATGCTCCCAAGGCTCTTGTTGGCCGCTTTGATGACGAGTCGGATGATTCTCAGGAACGTTTGGATGCCTTCATTCAAAAGACGAAGGGGAAGCAGTCTTCACTTAGGGTGCGTACTAGATGTTTTGTAATAAATTCTAATTCTAATGCACAAAGCCAATTATATAGATTACCTCAGATGCAATGCCTGAGGATGCGCTGTCTTCAACAGAGGACTTACAGGATATTGATATCGACGCACCAATGGACCTGGACGATGCATTGGTGGACCTGGAGGACAATTTGTTTGAGGGCAAAGATGCCAGGATGTCCAAGGCGGTGGACAGTGACAGCAGCCTAAGCAATGGAATCTTGTTCCGTCGGAGTAAGAAGTGCAAGCTTGCAGACACCAAATCCTCCACCCTTGTCTTGGAGAGTACCCCCTACGAGGATACATCAGATGTTGAGGTTATTGATGTCCCTTCAGGCCCTGTCGCAATGGCCAATACAACGAAGACGGCTGTGTGTTTGACCTCTTCGGTAAGCTTATTTTATTGATGATTATCACAACTTATATTCTCTGACAGACTGCCGTTGCCGTCTCCCAGTCGGCCACCACAAAGATGCAACCACCTGCAAAGAAGGTGAAAATTGAAGAGGACATTGATGCCAGCACTGCGCAACTAACGCTCACAGCCCCACCTGGCTATTGGATCGAGAAGCAATACAAGACGCACTCGAGCTACTGAAACTATCATCTCCCTCCTCATTGCCAAGATCAACGGTGGCCGAAGCAGTTCCTCCCAACACTTTACCTGTGGGCCGGGAGTCAAAATGACCTCTGGCAATTCTTAGACGCTCCTCTGGTCAAGGCACTCCAATCCATTTATGATGTCGTGTATTCAGAAGAATCAGATCTTGATTACAAGGTGACCGCTCAAGGGTCTGTCTTTGGCGTTGTAAGTCGCATTTTTTTCTGTCACTATTACTAATGGTTACAATCTCAATCAGGCCACCCAACGTCTCGCAGAGTGGCGCAGCAATTTTGGATCAACGGGACTGGCTATTATGATGGATTTTTTCACTAGGAATGCTGACACTGATCCAGAAACACTTGCTGATGTGCTTCTGGAGGACTTTGCTTTCATTTATGAGGACATGGAAAACCTAGACCCGATGCAAGCCTTCCGGTCTCCATTCATGTTGCAGCTCTTCGCAACCGCTCATCTTCATGCCATTCTCGGGCATGTTGAAGTCCCCGCACTTAAAACATATGTGCTGTCTGTCGTCGGGATGACTGGTGTTATTGGCATTTGTGCAGCTTCAGTAAGTACTCTGTACATTCAAGTAACATTACTGATAATTCTACAGCTCGAGCGTGCCATCAAACGTCTCCGTGTCAATGCCATTGACATTGATGTGGACACCCTAGATCTGGGTCCTGCACAAATGAAGCGCAAGCTGCGGACACCGAAGACCTTCAACAAGGCCACCGGCAAGGATAGCACTACCGAGAATGCCTTCTCCATCAACAACTGGGGATCAGTAACTGCATCATATGTGGTTGCTATCAAGGCGAAAGGAGACGACTACATGAGGACCACAACATTAACGGCTCGGAAATTGCTGAAGAAATTGGGCAGTGTCGGCCTCCAGAAGTACTTTCGCACTGATGATGATGGCTCAGAGGCCGTTGACATCCGCGCCATCCTGTGGTAACAAAGATTGATTCTTTTTTTCCTTTATTGACGAGCTGATATCATTCTATAGATGTCATTTCTGCACTGCTCACTGCAAGTTTCCAATTGTGCGGCGCCCGTCTTCAAACCATTGCATTTTGCCTATCCCACCATCACCCCGGTTTGCTCGTTTTGTGTTTCATTATCCGCATTTCATATCCTTTAATCTCCTTCAATTCTTTTGTTTTACATTCATTTTCGCTCTTACAATCACTGCCCTTTCTTCCTATTTTGACCACTTTTTCACACTTCACGTCGCCATTTACTCCATTTTAACCAATGTTTTGTACTTTGTATTGGACAATGTGACGCCGTTTGCGCTATTATTACTGCTTTTTTTGTCGGTCAATGCCTAGTAAGTGACTTTTAAGAGCAATAAAGTAGAATTCAGAGGGCGAGTGGCCTTTTTCTCAAATTTTCCGCCGTCTCTTTCATGTCACCCCAATGGCTCCTCAAACCCGGTTAAAGTGAGAAAATAAGGATAAATTAGGATTCATCACCAAAAATAAAAGTGAGGTTTTACTGATGTAGAAACTGAGATGTAAGCCGTTTATATTCATCGCGCACGTTATACAGTACTAACGAGACTTAGATACATTTGTTCTCCTAGGTACTTAAGCTCGTATAACGAGTTCTTACTAGAAACTGAGATATACATTTGTTCTCCTAGTGCACGCGTCTCCTCGCTCGAAATAAGTCTCTATAGACACTGATACCGGCCACTGGGAAAGTCTCTATAACACATAAGATGAAGGATCTGCGAGGTAAGAAGTAGGGCTCTGCCGCCTTGAATGGGGATATCAAGATGACTATGCCTGCTACGACAAGGAATATAGTAAACATCATGACTTCTATGGTCGAACA